TGCCATCGGGGCTGTAGTATTTTTTGTACGTGTTGCCGGCCTTCTTGTCCTTGCCGCTTCTCTTGAAGACCCGGACCTGGTAAATAGGGTTTTTATTACAGTTTCTGGGCTTGGCGACAATGACTCCACAAACCAAACCCCGAATCTTATGCCCCTTACTCTAATCAATCTAAACTCATTCGGGTTATTTACAGACAAATTTAAATTGAGCATCAGGCACCTTCCAGGTCGGAAGCTCCTCATCAACTGTAGGCTCCTCCTCCTCCCCCGGATCTTCGCCCTCCTCCTCGCATGCCACTTTGACGGCGACGGCAGGCTTCTTTGCGGGAAGTGGCAAAGCAGCCGCTGGCCGCTTCATCTGCTTCCGCTCGGTCTTGGAAACAGAGGTGCGTGTCGTAGCAGTAGATGAGTTTGCTTTCGCCTTTGATTTGGCCTTGGCCGTTGTGTTGGGCTTCGCTGCCGCTGGCTTCTTCTTCGAAACCTCCTCCGGCTCTTCATTCTCTGGCTCCGATTCGAACAGCATGCTGGAGGCACCTGTGCGCCGCAAGGCCGGGGAAGGAGTCTCAGGTACCACAGTGACAGCGGTCGAGGGATTGTCGGAGCCGGGATGATTCGGCTTGTGGTTGTCGGGTGCAGCATCAGCAGGAATGTCCTGCATGCGCTTCTGATCACTGCCAGTTTGTCGAGTCAAGTTTCAAGGCAACTGCCTACAAGGCCCTAAAGCAACCAATAGCAGCAGCAGCAGCAGCAGCAGCAGCAGCAGCAGCTTTCAATCTTTCAGTCGGGCCTTCTTGAAGTCGTCGCTGTTCGGATTCTTGGAAGCCTGCCAAAGAATCGGATGCAGTTTTTACTGTTGAGTTTCACACTAAAGGACTCGTGGCCTCAGAAACACCAGGTGCATCCATCAAGGCCTAAGTGCAAACGAATCGGGAACACTCCAGCTGCAACAGGGCTCTGGTTGTGATGGTAGCCAAGGACGCGGCAGAGGGTTTCATCGGAGGCTTCGGATTGGCAAATGATGATGTCACGACGCCTGTCTTCGCCGAAACCGCTTTAAATTAGAATAATCGAAGCCCACCTCCCGTTCCTTGAGCCGTGCTCGGCAAAGCGATAGGTCCGCTGCGCGGATCATTTCCTCGGCAATTGCTTCAAGCTTCTTGATAGCTGAAGCTTTGTCGTCAGTCAGAGTGGTTGAGTCGAGCGATCAACAGTCACAGCCAACAAGGGAAAGGGATATGGAGAAAGAGATATTGGAGGGGACACCGGAAAGAGACAGAGAGGGAGACAGAAAGAGAGGGTATAGAGTTTAACTTAGACGAAGGGGACAACATGTGTAATAAAAGTGCTACAGTTAACAGAATGTACACGTGTACATGTGTGTGTATGAGTGTAGTATGTCTGTATAATATGTGCATGTGAAATGACTTTAATTTGTTAAATACTATGACAATATGTGTATACCTGCTGTATACATGTACATACAAGCACGTATAAACTTGAAGACAGCAAGGAAAGAGGATATGTCCAGAGACTGTAACCCCTAAGTCGATTCCGAATCAACTATTTTGATGGTTGTGTCATGTTCTCGGAAACAAGGGTCCAAAGGTCCTAGAAGGCACGCTGCTGGTTGATGATATCTAGTACCACATGTCCTGTTTCACGGGTTAAGTTATGTTACTCTACGGTCTACCAACAAAGATTGCCCGAAAACAGGCCCCAAGCTCCTAAACCCACTCCTCCCAGGTGGCACACGAATAGGTTGTGATAAATGCTTTAATAGACCGTACCCTGAACCCCTAAAACCAAACCTTACATCGGAAGTACAGTGGAACAATACTCAGCAGCAAATATTTCGGAATGCTGCATTCTACAGACGGCATTGCTTGAAAAGAGGCCCAGATGTGCTACCCATTCTCCAAGAGTTAGCTAGTAGCTACTAGAAGCTACGACTAGTTTTAGTGCTAGAAACACCCGAAACCAACCCTAAACCCCAACCCCTAAAGAGCTGAATCCCGAAATACACTGAGCTCCGATCAAGTAGCCGATGCATTGCACGGCTGTATCGGCACTCACGGCCACTCTCTGGGTCGCAGATGCAGTTATGTCAACGGTAGCCCGGAAACAAACCTGCACACTAGTGCCGGGGCCAGCAGCAGAAAGACCCTGCATGGATGTGCGAGTCAACACAGATCCTGAGCTGGAGGGGGAGGCCACCGGAGGAGTGCTGGTGGCTGCACCTGCATCGAAACTGGTAGTCTCTTGCAGCATCTCCTGATCCAGGTTCTGAAACATCATCCGCCGAAGCTCGCTGCGAGACTCAGCCATGCTGGTGCACGTTGCACCCGCTCACACACGACTTCGTTAAGTTAAGATGCCTGCGGGGACACATTCATGGTCAGATTCTCTCAGTGTGCTGCAGGCAATGCGATTCCGAGCTGACTGCCCATGCTGCCAACTGATGCTTCAGTCCGGATGATCGGAAAGTTTTCGTCTGAAAAACTCGCACAGTTGAGGGTGCAGCAGCGAAACTCGTGCCTCGGAGGCTCCTGCACACGCTGCCCTGAAAACATCAATCTATGATGGCTAACCACAAGTCCCTAAACCCTAAACTAAGAGCGTAAACCCTAAATTTAAACTAAGTCTAAGTATTCAAGGTCTAGGCGTGTGGCGAGGAAGCGAGGCGACCCTTTCCAGCACGGAAGAAAATTTAAAAGCCCTAAGCTGAAGATGGGCCACCCGCCAGGCCTGTGCATCGGTCTGCAGAAAACTGAGCTGTCTGTTTCAGTCAGCTTTGGATAGCCTCACCGGCTTCCCCGGATGCAGCTTGATAGCGGCACTCAAGGCCACGTATGGCTTCTGGATCTTTGTCAAGGCGTGGACCCTTTCGAATCTCCATCGGAACACCGCCTGCGCGGCGTCGGACTTGTCCACCGCGCTGATGAGATCATGGAAAAAGGATTTGCAGCTCAAGGTCTTGTCGACGTCTGGCATTGTCTTGTACTTGTGCGGATCGGCGATCTCCACCTTGAAGCTGTCAGCAAGATCACCGTCAGAGGAGGGTGCTCGAGTGCACTTCGTGTAGCTGAGCTCGTAACGAGTCACCTTCTTCTG